GAGAGAGAGAGGGTGGGAGACGGAGTATATGGGAGAGGGAGAGATGGAAGGAGGGAGGGAAGGAGAGGGAGAAGGAAGGGAGGGAAGGTAGGAGAGGGAGAGAGGAAAGGAAGGGAAGGGAGGGAGGGATGGAAAGGGAAGGAGATGATAGGGGAGGGAGGAGGGAGAGGAGAAGGAAGCAGGAAGAATAGGATAGAGCGGGAGAGAGAGAGGGAGAAGAGAGTTAACAACGAAGGGGGGCACGGATAACAAGAGGAAAGACAGAGAATTAGGTAGAATTACATAAAAAAGACAAATAAGTAGATAAACCACTCAAAAAGTATATAAAAAGGAAAAAAAAAAAACAAGACACTAATAAACGCAATCCCACAAAATCAGTGAATTAAAATCAACAAACAAAAACAACAGCAATAACAAATAAAAAAATAATGAAATAAAAAATAAAATAAACACCAAAATCCCCCTTTTTGATTAAAACGCCTCTTAACTAGAGTCAAACTGAGATGAGTTTTTTGAACTTCGTTAATCTAAAAGTTTCTTATCTCGTTGTCTTTATATCTTGCATAAACATCAAAGGAAGAGAAGAAAACGACAGGAGGATATTCTGAAACTTGTTAAGTGGAAATTGAGGTCTTTTAATCTCTCCTATTTTTTATTTATTTATTTATTTTATCTCTCTTCATCTCTTTTCTCCTTTTCTCTCCTTGTATCTCTTCATCTCTCTATCTATTTCTTTTTATTTCTTATTGCATCTCACATTCTCTCTTTATCTATCTCTTTTTATCTCTCTTTGTATCTCCTCATCTCTCTTTATCTATCTCGTTTTATCTTTGTATATCTTCTTCTGTTTCAATCTCTCCTTATCTCTTTTTCTTTTAATCTTTTTTTGTCTCTTTGTATCTCTTCGTCCCTCCCAACCTCTTTTTATCTCTCTTCATCTCTCTCTTTTTATGTACATTTATATCTCTTTATCTCTCTTTATCTATCTTTCTCTGTCTCTTTTTATCTTTTCATCTATATCTATTTTTATCTCTCTTTGTACATATTTATCTTTCTTTGTCTCTTTTTACCTACCTCTTTAAAAAAAATCTGTTAACTTCATCTCTTAATCTCTCTTTAATTATCTCCATTTCTTTATCTCTCTTTACCTATCTCTCTCTCTCAATTTCTTTATTTTCTTAATCTACCTCATTTTTTCCCCTCTTTATCTCTCTTATCTCCCTCAATTTATTAATTCTCTCGTTTACATAAAAGCTTTCTCTCGTTTACAAATATAAACACGGGTAACTCAAGTAAATTAATCGTGCGAGAATAAAATTATTATGATTGATATTAAAAAGATTTCAGGTGAAAATTTTGGAACTCAATCGTGTCCTTGTGCAAGCGATCATAGAGAGTGAGAGAGAGAAAGAGAAAGAGGAAGGGAGAGAGAGAGAGAGAGAGAGAGAGAGGGAGAGGGAGAGGGAGAGGGAGAGGGAGAGGGAGAGGGAGAGGAGAGGGAGAGGGAGAGGGAGAGAAGAGAGAGAGAGAGAGAGAGAGAGAGGGAGAGTATGAGAGAGAGAGAGAGAGAGAATAAGGAAGTAGTTACTTTCAAGGTTAACCACTGACAATAAAACAACAAAGAACAACAAAAAATGAATGAAAAAGAAGTCATACTACAAAGGAAATATAAGAAAGGTAAAAATTGTCTCTTTTCTTAACACGATTTTCAGTATCCCTTGATCTCCGATGTAATTAGTGCTGTTAATCAACTATCTCTCTCTCTCTTTTACCTCTCTTTCCCTTTCTCTCTCTCTCTCTTTCTACCTCCCCTCTTTCTTTTATCTCTCTTTCCCTTTCTCTCTCTCTCTCTACCCCTCCCTCCCGCTTTCTCTCTTTCTACCTTTGCCTCTTTTTCTCTCTCTCATTCTCGTTCAGAATTTGATATGTAGAATCAGTGAGAGAGAATTACCAAGCCATTGCTAAAGATTTGCTGCCGCCAGTACAAGACTTCATCTTTATTTTCTTTATCTCTCTTTATCTTCATCTAACTTTACCTATCTCATTTGATCTTTATCTTTATATTTGCTGTGTAGTACAATGGTTAACGTGCTGGTCTTGCAATCTTGCAATCTTTGATCCTGCGTGGTACCAGTGGATGGTAACCCCGGCCATTCCTTGCACACAGGGAGAGATTTAAAAGCAAAATAAACACTATGTCACAACAAAGAAAATCCATCGTGACAAATGGACTTGAAACTAAATCTATTAATCTGTCTATTAAATTTTACCAATCTCTCTTTCAAATGTCATATTTACATCCTGACTGGACATCCAAGTTAATAATACACATCCCATCGAGGCAAATTTTCCCCATCAAGGTAGTGACATCATTACGTCACAGTGACAGTCCCCTCCCCCCCTATGTCATGCTCATGTGGGTGTCACGTTGTCACCCCCTCCTGTCATTCACCCGTGACAGCGATAGCCAACAGGACACGCAACGTCAACGAGAAGGAAC